GTAGAATTCCTTTAAGGATAATCCTTGTCTATATATCCGTGCATGCACATTTTTGTTTGTTTGTGTTAAATTTACTACTTTCCTACTTCAACTAGGCATTTTTTTTTTTGTGGAAAATATAATTACTCGATACGAGTAGGTTGACCAAAATATTTCATGGCATGCATAGGTTACAAATTAAAGGATAATCAGGATTAGTTTTCCAAACTAAAATAGTAACTGGCCTGGGCATCCGAATTGGCCTTGGTAAATTGAATCTAATCCAATCATATTATTTTCATTCTCTTCGTGATTTTTAAAATACTCTATCCATTTAAAAATATAAGACATTTTTAACCGAATCTCATCTCTCAATAAAGTAGTTACTTACTTTTAAACTAGCCATATCTTTTTATATTTATCTCAATTAAACACCCTACAATAAATATAAAGTCATTCATCAATAGGGGCACTTTAAAAAAAAGCAATGATTATATCTCAAAATATTAAAAATGTCTTACACTTTTAAACATCCAACTCTTTAAAAAATACCTTACATTTTAAAACAAATGGAGTACAAGTATAAAGAAATACTAAAGTAAACACAAGACAAGGGCAAAACTTAGGTACTTTGTCTTATATGCTTAATGTACTTTTATCTAATCAAATCAAAACAAGTGAATTTTAATATGTTAATAATATTAATAACAAAAATTTATTATAAAATAAATAATCTATGAATGAATTAACTGAAAACAAACACCTTAAATATATAAAATTAAGTATATAAATTTTTCCTTTACACTTCGTTTGCCAACCAGGATTAAATTTGACTACGTACTTTTGATTAAATAAAGACATCAATAGATGTGTCTTTGTCGACGTGTATTAATTGTTATGGTCCATGCCTATCCTTGATGAATTAGACCAAGTATGCAAAAGCCCAGATATAATAATAATTAATTAAAGTTGGATAATTTCTTTTTATTTAAATAATTTAGAGTTGTTGCAAGAAAGTTGTTAGAGCTGTTACATATATACATATATATTGAAAATTATGCAACTACTACCTATCGAGAGAGAGAGAGATAGGAACTGGCTGTTGCATTTTTTGAATTGTATGTTCAGACCCTTCTCTTTGCTGTTCTTTCCCTCTTTCTTTCTCAGAAAACATTGTATATCTACTGTAAAACTTAGGTCACGTTTACTAAAAAATAATGGAATGAAATGAATTAAAAAAATAAAAGTAAAAACGAGATGAATAAAAGGAACAGTGGATCACATTCATAAAGAAATTAGGTAATTTAGTTCATGACGTTGAAAATCATATTTTTTAAAATTTTAAAAGGTGTGATTATTCTTATATTTGTAATATATATTAATGAATTTTATCATACTTACTATGAGGAAGAAGGATAATTTAATTTATTTTTGTATTGATTCTTTCAATTTATTTCACTCCATTCATTTTTAGTAACTAAATGTGACCTTATAATATCCTAGATTCTGGGTTCCTGTGTAGTAGAAGAGAAGTTTTATCATCACGATAAGTATGTTTTTTGGACTCCAGATTCCTACATGTTGGAACGCATGGGCATGGAAGATTGGCATACGGGGTTGGACGTTTAGACTTGACTAAGAAACGGTCCAAGTAATGAATATTATATAAAAATATATATATATATATATCACACGTGCCCACATCACATGAATTCGACTTTTTCACCTAAATTCTAGTTCAAACAATATATTAGATATTCGCAAACTGCAAAAGGATTAAAAAAGATAAATGTTGGGACCTAAAATTGTCCATGAGCTGAAATTATCAGAAATCGATGCAAATTTCCACTTTTGTTAACTAGAATAGAGATTTACTTCACATAGTCAATCAAAAGCACACAATTCTATAGTCTGAGTTCTGCACAAGATAAATGTTGGGATCTAAAATTGTCCATGAGCTGAAATTTATTTTGTAACGTAGTATTGTAAAAATTTATATTGTAGTTATAAATTCATAAACTAATGAAATTTTGTTATGGAATATGTTGGTAATTAGTGAAAGTCACCGTGAGAAAAATTGGATTACGTATTGTGAAAAAAAGAATAAATATTGTTTTGTTAATGTAAAAAGTTCAATTGTAAATTCATGAATCTTACATATTGGTTTGCAAAACACGAGGGTTGTGTAAAATGAAAATTTGAATGCATTGATGTAATTATTGGTTAACAAAAAAAAAAACAAGAGTATCAATGTAAATTTTAGTTTTGGAACTTGTTAATTAGTTAATATATGAACTTGAGGTTGTCAATGCCCGATTGTAAAAATATCAACTTTTAATTGTTATTCGTAACTCACATAGCACAAGTGTTCAACTATGTCAAAACCACATTAGCTTGGTAACTGGATATTTTGTTGAAAATAGCTGGACTTTATTTGTTATTTACGGACATTTTATTGTGAATTTTTCAAGGTAACTTGAAAAAAATACACCACAATATTTTCCCTAACTAGCACAATCCTAAAGTCATCTTAATTTCATTTACATTTACATGTTGGATAAAAATTTCAATCCTTGAGAAGATATGGAGTTATCAAAAAAATGAACAATTACTTGTTAATATGTGAATTTGAAGTACTTTCTCAATATTTGAACCTCTAATTGTAAAAATTTGAACTTTTGTTTGTCACTTATGAACCTTAACTTGTAAACATATGAATGTGTAAATTTAGAACCTTGACTTGTCAATATCCGAACCTATGCTTATAAATTATGAGCCTTAAGTTGTAAATTTCCTAATATCTATATATATCACAATATTCACGCTCAAAAAATAGGATTGTGCTAGTAAATGTGGTGTAGTTTTTCAACTGGATTGTGTCAATAAGTGTGGTTTGTTTGTGCTCAATTATATATAAGGTAAACATTGTGGTGTATTTTTTTATATGTTACCGATATGAAATTTACAATGTAATGTCTATAAATAACAATTAAAGTCCAATTGTTATAAACAAAACATATGTTTATCAAGCTCATGCAGTTTTGACAGTTGAATATCTATATCGTACAAGTGACAAATAAAAGTTCATATTTTACAGTTCGAGGTTCGGACATTGACAACTTCATATTCACTTATTGGCAAGTAATAAACAACTTCATAGCTATATTATTCATTTTTTGACAATTCCACACCTTCTTAGGAACCACAATTCTTTGTCCAACATGTAAATATCAATAGAATTACGATGATTATAGGATTGTGCTAGTGTTGTTTTAAATAGTTTTTTTTTTTCCTTAGTGTTGTAAAATGTAAATTTTAAGGTAAATATTTTAGTGTATTTTTTACAAGTTATCTTGACAAAATTTACAACAGAAGTTATGTAATAATAATTAAAGTCTAATTATTTTTAACGAAATGCCCCTTTATCATGCTGGCGTGGTTTTGATAGTTGTTGTAAATTTCATGCCTCATATACGAAATGTTGTAGCTTCTATATCCAATTTGAAATTTATAAGATAAAATTACAAGTAATCCATATAAAATTTATAACAGAAAGCCCACAAATAATAATCAAAGTCTATTTATTTATAACAAAATATTGGTTTAGAGATATACAAACAATTCATGGGTGTAACCCTCTTTTGTCACGAAAACTAGAACTGGCCATTGAACGAAATTCTCTACAAAGCATATCTCTCCGCTTTGCTTTTGTAGAAGGCCACATCAACATTGGGAAGCAGTTGTTGAAAGCTTGTGAGGGAGGAGGCATGTTATTTTATATATATATATATATATATATATCAATTTTATATTATATAATCGGCAATGATAATGATTATTTACCGTGAGATCTAACTCGAATAATCTATTCAAAACAAGTGACACAGATGCAAAGTAAAACCATAAGTGTTATGTGACAAGACCCGCTCGTGTAGTATGATATTTCATGGTATATGTGGATTGCCTTGTAGTTTAAGGGCATGTAAGTTCTCCTATAATTAAGAAGTTACAAGTTCCATCCCGTTTATAACCCCGTACCATTAGTGACTACCCTTTTAATTCCAATATATATATATATATATATATTTTTTTAAGGTATATATAAAATTTTTGAATAAATGCTCATTATTAAAAGCAAGAGTCTATGAAGATCCTTCATGACAAGGCGAAGAGGAAGATATTAATCATGTGCAGTGATTTATCATTTGTAATCTCTTGGCTCCCACCACCTTCATATATCATCCAAGAAAAAAAAAATGTCACGAGAGGAAGATAGAGAAGGAAAAGCGAGAACGAAGATAAGGAAGAAAATACAAGGGGGTAATTATGTCAATTCAGCAAGGAATTTAATTGCAAGAGACATATCAGAATCATTTGGCCCTTATTTACAAATATGTTCGTTAATGCAATCCTCCAAAAACATAAATCTGATGCAATAGATGAAAAAAAAAATATCATAAAGATGTGAAAATAAACAAACGTATAATAAAATTTTAAAATAAATAAATAATAAATCACTTTCATGAATCGAGATTAACGAAAATATCAAAATCCAAAATATTAATAAATAATAGGAAAATTATGAATAGGTTTTAATCAATGAATTTATTTATAAGTTCGTTTCATGAATTTGAATTTGAGTGTTTAACTTATGATTAAAAAAATTTTCACTATTTAAAAATTATTAAAATACATTTCTTTCAAGAAATTTGAATACTATCACCTCTAAAATTGAGATTTAATCTTTTCTAAGTATTATACAACAAAAATTTCTAACAATTATTCAATTAAATCAAACATTTATTATGATATCACACAAGACATTTATTGAGTAAATATACTTACCAAATCTAAATCCACGTCATTATGATTCATTAGTCAGCAAAGCATGGACAGTAAGGAACACTTCAAAGAAGAAACTGCAACTAGAAACCATTATGGACTAATGCAAAGCATGGATAGCAAGGGACGCTTCAAAGAAGAAACTGCAACTAGAAATCATTATGGACTAATGCGCGCAATGCTAAAAATTCAAGACTTTCAAGTTCCATAAATTGTTGGTTTTCCAAGACTAACAAGATCAAACTTTTCTTTTTAAACACATTACATCCCCAACAAGTCCAAATGAAAAATCAAGAACCCAATTCATATTGGATTGAGTTCTCAATCTTAGGGTTGCCACCACAACCAAAATATATTCTTTAAACATTCCTCTGGCCATCTTTGTCTTGGTCTCCCTTCTTTCCCATCATAGATCTTACATTGTATGCACAAGAACACACAGCAGATGCAAGTTTCCTGTGATGTCTCATCCAAACTATACTTTGACTGACGTAAAAATGTCTCACCATGATCATCACCACCTCTTGGAACATCAACAAGCAAGTGTAATCCAGGAAGTCCAATGACCATGCAATAAAGGATTACAAGATCCCCTGAACTACATTGAATGACAAAACAAGAAATAGTCAACTGTAAAGAAATTTTTTGGACCAAAAAAAGAAAAACCATTATCCCACAAATATATTTAACATCAACACGCAGGTAAAATCACTTCTAACTACTTCACCAAAACCAATGAGAGATAATTAAGTCATTAACTACTTCACTAGAACCAATGAGAGAATCAAGTCATTAACTGTGTGAAAATAACACGAATTTCTTATTTTATCCATATTTAGATGAAACACTTCCAAACGGGAGAATGCTTGAGACTAATTAATTCAACTTAAGTTCCAAATATCAAATTCCAGAAATTAGAAAATTCAGTTTTTAATTTTGCAACTTCATTGTGATAAATTTGCAAATTATGTTCCAATTTTTAACAGGAAAAATAAATTTATTTATTCTTCAACTATGTTAAAATTTAAAAAATAAGTTACAAATTCATCACAACGAAATTACAAAATTGAAAGCTGAACTTACAAATTTATGAAATTTGGCATCCCTTGAGACATCTCTGTCATTCTCCCTTTCCAAATTGGCATTACATTCTCTCTTAAGGTTAATGAGTTTAATTAGGGGTAATATTGGAAAAAAGTAATGAAAAAAATCCTTCTAAAAGGAGCCCTATAATTCTAGAGGAGTATGTTTAGAACTCTGAGTTTGATAGACGCAAAACAGACAAAACAACCTGAATTGACAAGTAATGGCTAAGAAAAGTAGGGAAAAATATTGCAACACATGCAACAGGCAACATCAAATGATGCTTCCAAACGCACACTCACAGACCAAGGAAAATTTTAGAGCAAAAATAATGACTAAAAACATTGCTCGAGAAAAAATATGATTTGCCTGCTACAGGATTTGGCTATATGAATTCAAGTTTTACCTAAACCGCAAGACCAAGGAAAGTAAACATTGAAAAAAAATGTTTATGAACCTAGAGAAGATCCACCTAAAGTAGATTACACATGAGAAAATCACCTGACCAAACCAGACACAAGGACAGTGAACACTAATAAACCGGAGAGGCTTCTCTACAACAGTAAGAAAAATAATGCTAATAACTTAATGGTCATATTATCAGATTGGATTTTACACATCAACAAGAAACGAGACATGGCAACCCTCAGAGACAGAATGATTGAACAACCAAGGGAATACATTAAGTAGCTTCTGTCAATGAGTGAGCAATACTATGCTCAACCGGATCAGGATTTTACCTATAATACAACAGAGTATTGGCCTACTAAACTGGACTCCAATGCAAAAATGCTGCACCATGATCACCACCACCACCTCTTGGAAAATCTAGTGGCAAGTGTAATGGAGGGAGTATATTGAACATGCAAAAAAGGCTAAAAAGATCCCCTGTACCACATTGAAAGATAAACAAGAAAGAAAATAATCAAATGGGCAGAAAATTTTGGGGGCAAATCTTTTGACAAATTAAAAAAAAAAAAAAAATCTTAACATCAAGGTGGGCAAAACTGTATTAAGGAGTTTGATAGATGCAAAATAAACACACAAGAAAGGGAGACTGGTTTGTCCATAACAGTTGCACGCCTACCTGAAAAACAAGGTTTTTTTTCTTTTTTTTTTTTTTTGGGTTTTTGTGGGGAGGGCCGGAGGTGTGTTTTACTTGTAAGATGGTTAATCCAAGGTTGCCTCTCAAGAAACAAAGACAGAAGAACTCAATGTATCAATATCACTATATATTGTAAAAGTTTATCGCAAGCTACACTATGGCTACTATGGCTATTAACAATTTTTCTCATTTATTAGAACCCTTGAAATGCACAAGAATTGTGTCTGATTTTTTAAAGTAAGACAATCAGCAAAAGTATTGCCAAGGATAAAATCCTGTTTTCTTGTTAAAAGACCAGACTGTACGAACTTATGTTTTTCTAAACATATAAAAGCAAAACTGAATGTTAGTTCTGAACATAGAGCAAATCCTCCCACAGTAGTAGATTAAACATGAGAAAATTGCTTGACCATATCAAACTTAAGGACAGTTAACACCAACAAAGAAATGATCAACACAAAATTCAACAAAAACAACCAAGATTGAAAGGCTTCTTTACGGTAGTAAGTGAAATTATGCTAATATATTATTGGTCATATTAACTAACTGGATATTACACTTCAACAACTTATGAGAGATGACAACACTAAGAGATAGAATGATTAAATAACCATGGGAATTAATAAAGTAACATCTGTCAAAATGTGAACAATATAACGTTCAATTAGATAAGGATTTTACCTATTATACAACAGAGTATTTGCCTGGTTGAGCACCACCAGGAAGCTGCAAAGCCTGATTTGTTATATCTTCCAGCACACGCTTCAATTCTGCTTTTGCTCTCTTAACAGACTGTTCACTGGGGCCCTCAATGAACAAGTAGAGTTTCCGTTCACCAGGTCCAGGGATCTTGCCAGGTGGGAAATACTGCCCCCTGGTGGTAATAGCAGCTCCAGTCCACTCAGAAATTGGGCCCAGAGTTTCCTTGTGTGTGACTTTCCACCGAGCATTTTGGGGGAAGTCATTTATCTCCAACTCAGCTTCATAATGCTCAGGCATAGCACCAGCAATCTTTGCTAATTTATTTTGCAGGTTCATAGCAGCTAATGCTGCCCGAGTTGCTCCATCACTTGGAACAATGGGCAGCCCTGTCCCAGGCATGACTCCTGCAGTCTGGAGACCAAGAACAGCAGGCAAAGAAACAGGCAGTCCTCCATTTGAAACTACCTGGGAAGTAGAGGGCATTGCAGGAGTGTTTGCTTTGGTGGCAGCAACTAGAATCTGGGCAAGAGCAGGATGCTGTGAGATGTCACCTCCTGCCTTCCTAATACCTTCATCTTCATCCTCAGAATCAGACTTATCTTCTTCAAACCCATATTCTTTGGCTTGTGCTTTCTTTGCTGCTCTCCTTACCTCATCTTCTTCTTCATTAAATTTAAAGCCACTGCCTCCATAGCCAGTCCCATGGGCTTGCTCAAGTCCTTGATTAACTTTTGCCATAAATCCATCAGCAAGAGCTTTCAGGTCATCAGGAACTATTTGTTCAGATAGCTCCAAAGCTTTAACCAGATCTGGTGCATATCTTGCTTCTTCCTCTGAGATAAATGTTATAGCACAACCCTTCCGACCAGCTCGGCCTGTACGTCCAACACGATGCACATAATCTTCATAGTGGTTTGGAACATCAAAATTGATGACCAATTCAAGCTCCTTGACATCTAAACCCCTGGCTGCAATACTTGTTGCAATCAGCAAATTGCAGACATTGCTTTTGAAGTCAGAAATTGTGGATTCACGATCTGTCTGATCCTTGGCCCCATGAAGAGAAAGGCATGGATAACCATGTCTAAGCAAATCCTTGAACAAAGCATCGCATTTCTCCTGTGAGTGGACAAATATCAAAATCTTTCCCTTCTCATACCATTCCCCAAGTAATTCTAAGAGCCTAAAGAACCTATCATTTTCTGGCCTCACCTCTACTAGCTGTGTTATGTCCTTGTTGACGACACTCCTTCCACCAACTTGTATTTCAACAGGTTTGTTCAAAACCTTACGAGCCAGAATTTCAACCTGACGAGGAAATGTAGCAGAAAAGAGAACTGTTTGTCGATCTGGTCGAATATTCTGAACAATTCGGGTGATTTGAGGTTCGAAGCCCATGTCAAACATACGATCAGCCTCATCCATGACCAGATAAGTGACTCTACGCAGGTTAGTTATTTTTCCACCACTAGTGCATAGTATGTCAATCATCCTACCTGGAGTACAAACCACTATCTCAGTACCACGTTTCAATTCACTGATTTGCTGGGCAACACCAGAACCTCCATAGACAGGCACACACCTGAGACCAAGTACTTTTGCAAATTTTTTTATATCACTGTGAATCTGTTGAACTAGTTCCCTTGTAGGGGCCATAATAAGGCCAATTGGTCCATCTCCTGCAACAACTGGTGGCTGATCCTTGATGTGCCTCAACATTGGCAGAACAAAAGCAAGGGTTTTACCTGACCCAGTTTTAGCAATTCCAATGCAATCTCTACCGCTCATAATTACAGGGAGTGCTTGAGCTTGAATAGTCATTGGCTTTTCATAATTAAGCTTCTTTATTGTCTCCAAAATTTTGCTAGTAAGTCCAATCTGATTCCATGATTTTACAGGCTTTGGTACATCCTTTCCATGTATCTTCAACTCCAACTCCTTCCTATATGCTGCAACTTCTTCAGGAGTCATCTTGGCAATCTCCTTTACTTCAATATAAAAATTTTTCTTGAATGGCTTATAATCAATCTTTGAGTGGTCAACAATAGAAAGTTTCTCAGCTTTGGTTTTCTTTACTCTTTTCATGAATTCATCATCATCTTCATCTAATGGATCATCCTCAATTTCAAGGTCTTCATAATCTAAGTCAGACTCTTCACCAGGAATTATTCTCCCAATTGATTTATTTGACCCTTTCCTAGGGTTCCTACCATTACTTTGCTCATCCTTGTTACCTTTGGGCTTTGAGTCAGAAGTTTGATTAGAAGATTCGGGAGCCACAGAACTACTCAGCTTCTCAACTTCAGGCAAAACCATAGAACTCATGAAAGCATCCAATGGATCAATCTCCTCATCTGCATGAGAACCATCAGTCTCATCATGTAAATTAGAAGTAACAGGTCCATTACTAACATCTACTGCCATCGAATCCTTAGGTTCTTTATCCGAAGGTTTGTCATCTTCATCTACGTCCATAGATGTATTTGGCTTCCCTGTAGTGGTTCCTTCTTCATCATCAGATTCCCCTTCAAGTGTCCAGGCCTTTCCAAACTTGGGTTCATCAGCACTTGCTTCACCACGCTTTTCTCTCTCAGCTTCCTCCCTCTTCCTTCTCAACTCCTGCCATTCCTGAACTCTCCTTCTCCTCTTTTCCATCTCTTCATCCAACCTCCTATGTTCATCCTCTAACTCCTCCTCACGACTTGGTTTGCTTTCATTAGCATCTGAGTTATCATTTCCACTCTTTTTCCTTGGGCCCTCCTCAATGTTCTCAGTTTGCCTACTTGACTTGCTACCACTCTTCTCCTGCTCTCTACCCTTGTAATCATCATCATCTTTCTTGTGCCGCTTTCTTTCTTTATCCCTTGAATCATCATCACTACACTCACTATCAACTTCCTTACGCTTCTCCCTCTCTTTTACTCTCCTCCCCCTTTCTCTTTCCACTTCCCTCTCCCTTTCACGCTCTCTTCGATCCCGTTCCCTTTCTCTATCCTTCTCCCTTTCTTTCTCTCTTTCCTTCTCCCTCCTATCTCTCCTCTCCCTTTCCCTTTCTTCCTTGTCTCTTTCCCTTTTCTTGTCTCGAGCTCTTTCTCTTTCTTCATCATGAACTCGTGTCCTATCCTTATCCTTGTCTCTATGCTTCTCTCTTTCTCTATCAAATCTTTCATCAGAATCACTGCTTTTCTCTCTCTCATAGCGTCGGCTCTCACGATCTCTCTTCTCTCTATCCCTATGCCTCCCTTCACTTCTATCCTTAACTTTATCACCAGTCTTCTCACGATCTCGTTCACGGCGACTCCTTTTGGAATCCTCTTCCTTCCCTTCATAATCTTCCTTCCTAGATTTACGCTTTCCCTCATCCATTGTTTTCTCCTACAAAATTTGCAATAGCAGTAACAATTTACAGATTAAGGCCAAAAAATCATTTTATAGATACATAAAGTATTAACTGTAGAAGAGAAGCACACAGCAGTATATTCGGCATAAAAATAGAGTCAAAGTTAATCTGAATGTGACATTAAGGTTGTAAAAAATGCATGGAAGATAACAAATCAAAAGCATATGATCTAACTTCCAATTCAGAATTAAGCATCAAGCATTAAACAATACAATAACAACAGTTCCAATCATGTGGAGAATAAAACACACTTATATCACATTATTAAAACTGAATAAACTAGTATAGTTTCAGTATATTTCCCATGCAATATCATCAATATCTTGACTCTCTTTCTTCCCAAAGTTTTTTGGGTTTTTTATGAAGACAGACAAATAATGCACGCATTAAATAGGGAAAAATTGTGCGAACCTTTGGATAAAGGAGAAAAGGGGTTTACAGAGATGGGAAATGTTAGTAAATTATTATTTACAAAGCAAGCATGGAGCATAAATTCTATTTGCAAAAGTTTAGGTCCCAGATACTTGAAAATCAAGAATAATACTGGAACTCTTCAGCATTCAAATTCTGCCAGGATATGAGACATGAATTGCTCATGAAAACTACAGAAAATGTTGAGCGCAGGGATCAATGCACTGTGATCTTTATTGATACTCTATTTAGCCAAGAATAAAGTAGTTTTTAAGGGCAGAAGACCTTGTGCATACAGGACAGTTAAAATGATAAATTGTGAGTACAATCCAGTGTTAACCTTCTGAAAACTATAATTTAGGTTGGTCAACAATTTGTGCTTACGTTAAAGAAAGAAGAAAAGGAAAGAATACATGGTTTTCATGAGGATCTCTGGAGATCTGGTTGGAGTGATATACTGTGGTGATAGAAGAATTTCAAGAAGAACTTGCATTTTAGGAAGGGGTAAGAAAATCAGTTAGTTTAGTCCGAGACCAAGAAGCTGCTAATCCAAGCCAAAATACTTGAATATCCTCGTGTTAGATTGGTAGCAGAGAATTACAGAACAATTATGAGAGATTTCTCGAGCAGTTGATAATTGATGACTATTCGGAAGCATAAGCGGACCTATACTACGCTCAAATCTTTGAAATATTCATAGTAGACATGATGCCCTTTTTAATTTTTGTTCCAGATACTTTTTGACACAAGTCGAGCCAAGTCATTTACAACATCATGCATCACAAATACCTAGAAAATTTTCCAAAATTGATCATAATATAAGATTAATGAACAGAATGCCAATACACAACAAATCGAACATTGCAAAACAACAAACTCCAAATCATACAAGTCACTAGTAATCAAAATGAAGAGGGAAAAAGCACAATAACCATTTACACACCATTCAAGCAAAAACTAGTACAAAAAAAGCTCTGTGTAAGTATTCCCAAATTCAACGATTACACGACCAGATTCAAAACCAAATTAAAATGTAAAATTTAAAACAAAGAAAGAACTGCCACGAACAGATGGCACGATAAACAAATTCAAATCTAGATTCAAAGCCAGATTGAACAAATCAATCTCACCGGATTTTGGGAGTAGAAAAAGCCCTAGGGTTCTAACGTTCTTCGCTGCTTGCCCGAGATCAACCACGCAGGGCTGATAACGGTGGACGGTGTCCCACGGAGTGCGGAATGCTTGTTCGTCGACGAAGAGAGCTGAATCCGCTACTCACGAGAATAGGTTTCATCGGGGTTATAATTTATTTTAGGAAGAATTTGGTGCAGGTCGAAAAAAATTAATTATGATTATTAATTATTCAAATAAAAAATGTTATTAATTTATTGAAAAAATAATAATAAAATTTTCTAAAATTATATAAATGACAAACCGGTCTTTTAAAATGTTATAATTTTATTAAAATTCTTGTGAACTTTTGTATTAATAAATTTTAAATTGAAAAGATTATTTTATTCTTATTAATAAGTTATAATTTCTTATTCAATTATTATGATTCTTTAAATAAAAGTAATTATTTTTTAAATAAAAATTATATTTAACTTGTTATTCTGAGAACCTATTTTTTAGTAATAAAAGTTATATTTGACAAGTTTTGATTTTTCATTTAACTCTTATGATTCATAAAATAAAAATTATTATTCTTTAAACAAAAATTATGATTAAAATTTTATCTAATTAGAAGGGAGGGGAGGAAAGAGGAGGAGGGATCCCCTCAGTTTGGGGGGAGGCTTTGGAGAAGATAGGGGGAAGGGAAATTTTTTAAAATTTCTTCTCCCCTTTCCTCCAACCAAATAATATTTAAAGAAAAAATAGTTTTTCACTTTAAAATTTATAGATGTAGAAGACTTCAATAAAATTATGATATTTTAAAAAATTAAATTGTTATTTATATAATGTAGGAGAATTTTATTGTCATGTTTCCTAATTTATACTTATTAATTTACTTTAATTTATGGATTATCTAACTCTCATACATGTGTTATATCAATAATAACTTAATATTATCTTTGATCACAAAAATAAATATCATATTTTTATTATGAAATAAAATATTACGACATATTACCAAACACTGATAATTCATGCTTTCACTTTATCAACATTTTTTCTTTCAAAATCAAAGAAGCTATTTCACTTTCATTTATTGCATAGTATTCAATCATATTCTCATATATTACGGACAATTAAATAATAGAACAAAATATAGTTAGTAATTATTTACAGATATTAAATATCAATCAATCAAATATTATTATTAAAAAATTCTGTCATATTAAATGGGATTTTTATCGCGATTTCATTTAAACTCTTGGATGTACTTTTTTTTCATTTTTTTTTAATTCTCATTCATTTTCTAATTTTCTCATACCCATTTGTTCTAAACAAGCTCAACCTTTTACTAGATTGAATTAGATAAGGGAAGTGAGGTTGACTTAAAAAATGTAAAGCAACCAAAAACATATTTTAAAATTTAAAGCATAATCTTTTTTTTCTAAGAGAGCATCACTTAAATGTAGATATTTTTTGTGTGTTTTTCTTGTAATGTGACTACAAAATGTATATCATCTTTTCAGTGATTGCCATTTAGTTAAAGTTATAAGAGATTGGCTGCTTAAGTTTCAAACATTATGTTTTAGAATTAGGAAACAAAGATGCTAGAAGGCATATATTTCTTTGAAAAAATATAGTTTTAAGTTCTTATATTTTACTCACATTTTGTTATTAGTCTTTATATTTTTTGATATTTTGTATTCCTGTACTTTTGTTTTTTATTGTTTTAAGTTCCTTTATAAATAAAGTATAGGGATCTTGGAGGGATTTAAAATAATAAAAAATAAAATTATAAGGATCAATAACAAAATACGAGCAAAGTACAGGGACTTAAAATTATGTTTTTTCTATTTCTTTTTACATCACATTTGGCAGAAAAGGAACATTATACTTCATAATACTACACGGCTCACTAATGATTTGATAATTTAGGATTTTCAAGAGAACTTTAAATTTGTTAAGCTTGAATGCAACTGGAAAAAAATGATAAGGCAAACATTAGTTTACAAGGATATTAGCTTAATGATTCCATATTCACCGGTGATTTGTGCAAATTGGGTACAAGAAAAGACATTTGTTCAGATGAGAAATGAGGTTTTGGAAATTTAAAAAGAGAGTAACTTACTGTTCTGGTTTAATTTCAACACATCAAAAACAGGCAAAGCTTGAGAAATGTGTCATTAGCTTCAATAAAGAATAGAATTTCTTACGTTCTAATAAATATTCCATGGTCTTTCGATAACTTTACTATCCAAAGATGTGTCACTTATTACTTTGCTAACTAGATTTTTACCATTTTTTCATCTTTTAATGTTCCATTATTAACTATGTCTTTGTAACCTTTTACCATTTTATTTTGTTAAAACATAATTTTAATGCAATATATGTATATGAATTGTGAAAATAATAATTTAAAATTTATAATATTAAATAATAAAATATGAAATTGCTCTTACGGCTAAACAACAAACGGGAAGGGCCAGCCCATACCCTACGTGGCCCGTTTCAGCCTGTTTAAGGTGAGCTGGCCATCTTGTTTTGCACAAACAACTCATTTTTATTAAAAAAGAAAAAGACAGTGATCAAGTGCAAATTGTTCTACACTTCTAAATTCTAGTTCTACTTGATAACAATTCAAACATCATTGTCATCAAAGGAAACAAACTCAAATGTTACCAATTACATATTACAGTCACAACATTAATCATTAAAGTAACTGCACAAATTGACAAATATTTTTGTCTGAAGCAACAAGCCAACACAACTCAGCAAGAAAAAACAAACAATCATATATGTAATCTTGCATTGAATCTTCATCATTATCATCATCATCATCTTCTTCTTCTTCTTCAAAATCACTTGAGATGGTTGAATGTCAAGCTATTGAGTCTTCCTCTGCAAAAACAAATTAAGAAAAATGGTATCCATTAATATGTAAAAAATGTAAAATAATATAAATTAATAATGTTAATGAAATTACCAACAACAAGATTGTTAGACTCATCAAAATTATTAATATCAAGTTCTTTCAATTTGGAAGTAGGTTGACAAAGCCAACTTTAGGCATATATAAGTGCTTCAATCATCTTTGCAAATAAGGAACTCCTAAAAGTATCTAATACTTGACCTCCTATACTAAAGGCATATTTTGAAGACACTGTAGAGACAAGTAAAGCCAACACATCACATGCAATCAAACCTAAGACTTTACACTTGAAACTATTCACTTTCCACCAAGCCAAAACATCAAATTTCGGATCACAAGAAGCAATTACCTCAGTATGAAGATATTCATCCACCTCCAAAAAAATTTCTTCTTAACATACAGTGCTTGCCATTGTATAAAACTGTCACATTGTTCCATCATCTATGATTGCCAAGACAACATCATCAGGAATTGATACTTGGTTCCTAACGTTGTGATCCCTATGTTTCATTTGTGCCTGAGTTTTAGATGGTTCACCTATTCTTTGAATATTCTTTATATAAGCTATACAAGACATCCATAATATTCTGTGACCAGCTTACATTGTATATGATCAGAACACATGTTTTCAAAAGCAATTTAGACATGTTTGAATTTGTATCTAATGTCTAGTATCACTCTACTATCACCAATAATGGATTCATCTTATAAGCCTTACCTAGTGCTTATCCAACTTAGTTTCATTCTTCTCACCATGTCAATTAATAGAACATTAGAATTAGTTACACTTGACTTAAACTTGATTTGTATTGCAACTAACTATTGAAAAAAGAAGTGTTCAATGTCATGAAATGTGACAGAAAATTTCAATGTCAGAGTAGAACAACTTCAAAAAGACAATAAACTCCTTTGTAACACTCTAATCATATAGACTAAGAGGTTCATCTTCAATTTTCTTTTGAAAGTATTCATTGTAATCTTCATCTTCTTCCTGCAACCTAATCAAAGACTTTGATGAACTTCATGGCATTCTTTAACACAAAGTGTAATAACCACATAATTAAACCACACTACCATGATAATTAAGACTAATGTTCTAAGTTAACTATTACCATGGTAGAATACCAATTTCTAAAAACCATTGAACTCAAAATAGTTAATCAGATTAATCAAACAAACATATGCATTGTTGGGTAATCTTAAAATAGGATTATCCAACATTATATGGACATAATAGTCAATTTACATGACTTAAGCATTTTGGCATAATTGAACTCCCAAACCAACAAGGCAAGCATATTGATCTTAGGAATCAACACAACATTACAATCCACAATTCATCCATGAATATTATCACTATCAAGTTCACATATAACTGTCAATCACAATATTTTCTAGCCATATTGCAAGCCTCAAGGGCATGGATTAACAAAATCAGCTAGACTTACAATATTCAATAATATCTCAAGTACACTTTTCCTACAATCAAATCACTAACCTCACACATAAGCCCATACTAGCTTAAGTCCACAAAATGGCTATACAATTATCAACATTTAGTTAATAACCAAAACAAAATCACAATGCAATTATGTGTCCCCTAGTTGGCTACACACACACACTCATAAATTAGTACAAATCCTTTACACATAAATTGAACGCGAGGCATGCAAATGACAAGAGTCTAATTAGCCTCTAGTCCTTTTTCCTTGCCACTATCTAAAGTATCACTTGTCACGTGTTAAACCATAGGATGAGATAAATATTTCAATAACTAGGGAATCCTAACATATACAAGTGACATTTCAGTAATTAGGGAATCCTAACATACACAAGTATAAACATTTAAGAGTGTGTAAAGCGAGTAAAGACAATTATTCAACATAACAAAATATTTAGGCTTGCATGATCATTAATTTTCCCCTTATTACCTCTTTATTCCTTCTGACTGAGATTATAGGCTATAATTCATAATAGGACTAATTCATGTGATTGAACTAGCCTAAGGCCACCACTCCCAAACTTGGACTATGAACACCTCTACTAATCAAATTTCCACAGGGTATCATATATATGTTGCTAATAACACACATTCACTCTCAAAGTAAGCATTACTAGCTAAGCTAAAACCACATCTAATTCCCATTAGAGTAGGTGCCACAGCTATGCAATATTGGGAGCTACATAAGCATTGTTCATGCCACATGGACTTACAATATATCAACCTCCCTAATTAGGGTGA